GCGAAATCAGTCTTCGGTTTCGTTTCTTTTTCCAGCATTTTCACTTTCCATCTCTTCCAAAAGCTTCCCAGCAGCTTCTTCATCACTTTGCTGAACCTTCTTCTGAGCATCCTTAGCCTTCAATGCCTGCAACTTGCAGTGATTGTAATACGCAACACCCAAAAACGCAAGCCCGTAACCGAACAGATTAAGCGGCGTAACCGTATCTTTAATCACAGACCAAGAAAACGCAATCAAGAGCCAATCCTTGACCACACCAGCAACATTCATAGTCAAAGCCGAGGTTTTCCCAACAAGGAGGAACACAGCAAGATTCAAAGCGAATGCACATAACGAATTCGTTCCGAAAACAACGAAATCGAAGTGAAAACTCGACGTTTCCCTAAGAACCGGCAATTCTACGAAGATCCAAGGGAAGAACAAGAAAGCCAAACAACAAGGAGCAACGTAATACAGAGAAGTAATCGGATTAAGGTTGATTCCTTTAGAAGTGAGCAAGATCTGAATCAAAACCAACCTCGTAGCTTCAAAAGCAACAGCACCAAGCTGAAGCATAACTCCCCAAGTATCGAATTTCGCTTCACCATAAGCAGCAATCGCAACACCGAAAGAGATCGAGAGCATATTAGTCATCGTCTCCGATTTAAACGATTCCTTCTTAAGCAAAACTCCGATCGAGTAAACGGCGACAGGCATTAGGGCTTTAAGCATCTGAATGAAGGAGACGGAGAGGTAAATGTAAGCGGAATTCGATAACCAGAGAGAGAGTGAGTACAAGGCCCCGATTGGTACGACAGATCTGAGATAGGTATCTCGTGACATTGAAACTGGCTCGACGACTTTGAAGACTTTGATGAGGATAACGGCGAGGGAAGAGCAGAAAGCCATGTGGATCATGGTGAGTGTGATCGGAAAAGGCCAATTGTACATCTTCTTGTCGAGGATGTATTTGTTGTAGACGATTACGGTGAAGCTGAGGAAGATCCAGATCGCGACGTATGTGTAGGAGAGGATGATCTTCTTGATGACTCCATCGCTGAGTGAACCGCCTTTTCCCAT